AAGACAGCTGCCGGCTTCCTTCTGGGAAGAGCCACGGCCCACCCAAAGCTACCCCGTGGGGTTGGAGGGGGGACTGGGCCCCAGGGAGGGACTTCCCTATGAGGGTAAGAAACACTGCAAGGGCTTGGAGCCCCTGGGGCCCGAGACAGCCCCAGTGCCCGCATCCCCAAGGGCACCCGCTGAAAAGGAGCCACTCAAGATGCCTGGGGTCTCCCTGGTGGGCCGTGTCAATGCCTGGAGCTGCTGCCCCTTCCAGTACCATGGACAGCCCATCTACCCAGGCCCTCCAGGGGCCTTGCCTCAGAGCCCACTCCCCAGCCTGGGCCTCTGGCGGAAAAGCTCGGCTTCCCCCGGCGAGCTGGCCCACTTCTGCAAGGATGTGGAAGGCCCCGGGCAGAAAGTGTACAGACCCGTGGTTCTGAAGCCTATTCCCACCAAGCCGGCCATGCCCCCGCCCATCTTCAACGTCTTTGGCTACCTCTAGCCGGGCTGGGAGGGCCTTGGTCCCCATCGCTGGCCTGCAGGGGTGTTGGAGACCCCGGGAGCTCTCCTGGTGAGCAGTGGGCTGGGCAGTGGTGTAGCCTCTTGAGAGCCTTCCCTTTGTGTGTGGGGGGGAGGGGGAGGGCAGGGGCTTCTCAGGCAGTTGCCCAGCCAGCCCTTGCAGCCTTGGGAGCGGTGGAGCCGGGCTAGGCCGGCCCCTCTCCACCCGGGCCAGAGCCCGACAGATCACCTGCAGGCCTGTGCAGACCTCAGTCGGCGGGGCGTTGCTCTGGCCTGCCAGCCGTTCCAAAAGCCAGAGTTACGCACCTGTGCATCTGCCACCCACTGTGTAAGCCAATCTCAGTTCTGTTCTTCTTGTTCTTTGTAAATATTAAGAAGGCTAAAAGAATAAAGACATTTCTTTTGCAGTTTTCACATCTTGGGTCCATGAAGTTGAATGGTCCCCAGGCCTAGGACATGCTAGCTGGCCCAGATGGAGGGCCACCTACAGAGGCTGTGGGGGAAGCCTGGAGTGGCCCAGAGACCTCTGTGATGTCTGGGGATGGGCACAGGGGCCCAACTGCTCAATTCCAAGGAAGGAGGGTGGAGACAGTTCACGGGAAAGGAGTCTCTGATTCCCCACGCCAGAGAACAGAGCGGGGAAGGTGTGGCTACCCAGAGGGTCCAAACTGCTCTAGAGAATAGGGAGGCTGGGACCAGGGCAGGGGGACCTGTGCTCCTGGCTCTGCCGTGGGATGTGGGGCTGGAGCCTTCCTCCTGGGGCCTCTCTGCCCCACCTGCAGGATGAGGGGTGGGATGAGAATGGTTCCCTCTGCAGTACCTTCCACTCCAGTCACAGCCTCAGGGCAGAGACTGGGCTAGGTTACCTGCCAATGGCTCTCTTCCAGGGCCTGATGCAGCCCCTGGCACACCCTAGGCGTCCTGCCAATGGAATGATGAGGGCCTCTGCCTGTGACAATGCACAGAGGGGGGCACTGGTGGCGGGGAGTGGCCCTTGGTTTGGCCCCAATAGTGCCCAAACCAGCAGCCTTGGGAGGTGGGGGGCCGGCAGAGCCAGAGCCCGAGGGATCACCCACATGCCTGTGCAGACCTCAGTCGGTGGGGCATTGCTCTGGCCCACACCTCACACTGGCCCAGGATCTGCGCTGCTGTGTGTGGCATGGCTCCGTGGCTGAGAGCGTAGGGGCTGCCATGGGCGCTAAGCGGCTCATTTCATCAAAACACAGTTCTCACGACCGGGACAGGTGCAGGGGACCAGCCTGGTTGGGGACTATGGCTCCCAAATCAACAGCATACTGTTGAACAAGTTAATGCCCGCTCTGTGCCTCAGTTTCCTCCTCTGTAAAGCAGGGACTAGATCAAAGATAGAAAACAGATGCACCCACCACTTCTGAGTCCAAGGCAAGTATCATCAACTGGTCACATACTCTCTCTGTTGGGGCCCGGATATGGCCTCAGAATCCTTCCTAACACAAGGTCCCAGGATTAGTGATTGCTAAGGGCCCTTGCTACCCTGCCTGTTTTTACTCCAGGATTCCCCTGGAGAGGGGCATCCACATGGAGGGGCAGCTTCACTGGGAAGCCGGTGGGTTTCTGGTGGTTTCTGCCTGATGGTCTCAGAGGACTTCAGAGCCATGAGGCCACATGATGCCGGCAGGGTTGTCCTGAGTTATTATCTGGCTCATGCGGTAGGGAGTCCTCAGCCAGAGCCCTTGCCTCAGGCTGCTCTGGTTTTAAAGAACAGAGAGGGGGCCTGGAGGAGGCATGTCCCCTTCTCTCCCCACCTGCACATCATTACAGAGGCCCTGCAGGACCCACTGTGATGAGGCTCGGCCCCTCCACATTGTACAGCAGGGTGTTAAAAGCTCTAATCTGGGCCCTGCCACCAGCTAGCTGTGTGACCTTGGGCAAGTTACTTACCCTCTCTGTGCCAGAAGTCCTCATCCAAAAACTGTGATTGAAAATAGACCTGCCACGTGGGTAGCTGTGGGGATGCTGTGAGTGCCGGGCACTCTAGTACTTCACAAAGGATGGAAAGCTGCACCAACCCAAAGTTACCTCTCCTAGTTATCTGACGGTGTCTGTAGGTCCTTCCACACCGACATTTCAGTGTTGTTTATAGAGTGGGCAACCCACGGGAACGGGTGCCCGGGTCATCCAGCCACCCGCACTCCTTCAGAGAAGGAGCTCAGCTCTGGGAGGCATGTTTTCTTGGGGTGCTGCTCGAGTACACCGGGCCTGGGTCCTCACAGCTCCTCTGGGGCTCAACCTTTCCCAGGGGATACCTGGAAGTGCCTTAATTCAAATTCTGAAAGCCTTGTCTGGAAGCAGAAACCTTTACTAAGGTGCCACTCAACAGAAGCACCCGACACCGTGATTTTCCACGTCGAAGCAAGTTGGGGAAAAACACAACTTGGAAAACTTCAGTATTAAAAACAAAGAAACAAAAAACAGCCGCTGTAGCAGGAGCAGCTGCTTCCCTAACCAAGAAGTGAATGGTGTTGTCTCAACATGAAACCCAGGAACTCATCTCCTGCTCACAGGCTCAGATCTCCAGCACTGGGTCAAATGTGCCCCTGCTCACGAAATGAAGACACTTTTCAGGACGCTTACTGTTTGGTGATGCTGTCTAGACACCTCTGAGGCTGAAGTCTTCCCAGGAGCTGGGTGAGCACAGGAGTGGCGTCTGTACAGTCTTCTTGACAGCAGAGATGGTCAAAAAACGGAACCACTGGCTCAGTGTGAGCACTGACCACTCAGAACCGACCCCCCAGGGGGAAGCAGGGCATTTACGCTTTAGCTGCTGGGTGATTCGGAGGTGCGGGGCTGGGCAAGGCACTGGAGTGGAGGGGCTCTGACCAGTGCCTCCCAAGCCGGGCCCCACATCCTACAAATAAACGGTGCTGATGCTGAACCCAGGGGCTGAGCTCCCCCTTCCCACATCTCCCACCACCTCCTTGAGACTCACCTCCTCCAGGGGAGACCTCCCTCAGACCAGCGTCCCCGTCCTGCCCCATGCCTGTGGCCCCTGCCTGTTAGGACCCTCTAGGACATAAGGCGACCTGAGAAGTGCTGTAGGTTTAAGAGTTTTGCCTGATACCCAGCCCCACCCCAAATGCCCCCAGCCAACATCTTTCTTCTCTGTCCCATCATTGACTGCCACCCCCTCTGGCTCCCAGGTCAGCAAAGGCATTCTTCAGTCAGGGCTTTCCTCCGGCTATGCACTGAGCCCGCCTTGGCCCCTTCCCCTGGGACCCTGGGGTTGAACATCCCCAGTCTGGGAGGACGCAGGTTTCCTTCAATATTTCCTCAGGATCTCTGAAGCAAGACAGCATGGGACTCTAGCCAAGCACTGCTGGGCTGGAATCCCGGGGATTTGTCGTGTGTACCCAGGCAAGTCCCTTCCCCTCTCTGGGCCTGTTTTCCCTCCTGTACCAGGAGGGAGTGGGCAAGATGTGGCCTAGTCCCCTCTGACTCCTGGCTGGGAGGTGTCATTTGTCAGACTCATCCTCTTCAGGAAGACACTGGGACTTACTGGTTCCATGGCAAGCCAGCGTGTCAGAGCCAGCAAGGCCACCAGGGGCCACAAGGATGGCAACCTGAGGCCCCAGAGGAGTGAGCCGACAGCAGAGCCAGCCTGGGACCAGTGCTCCCAGAACCTGCCCAGCTGCTTGTTGGCCAAAAGCCAGAAACTCCGTCTGACCTCGCTGAAGCCTCTCCTGGGGCGGGGGCGGGAGCAGACTCTGAGGAAGGTCACCTGCTCTGGTGTCACCTGAGTGGCTTTAACCAGTCAGGGAAGGCAGCGCCTATGAGTCACTGGGACTTCCATGGAAACAAGGCAATCTTGGCGAGCCCAGCGGGACTCAGACGGCGAGAAAGCACTATAGCCGGGCCAGACCTCAGCTCTCTCACCTGCACCACCCCAAATGGGCTCGCAGCTCCTGCCGGACTCCTCCCGCACCCACGTGAGGACAGAAGGATGCAATGGGGGGCACGAGGCTTCCTGTCTCTCAAGTGTGGTGCCTTTGCAAGGGCTGACGATGTCCATCCTTCCGGCGTTTGCTCACAGGAGCCGGTATTTGAATGGTTTTTCCCAGTATCTCAGCTTTTGTAGCAAAACGGGTAAGACGTGAAGACAGTGCCAGGGGACACGTGTATAGGACAAGCCCAGGTGTCAGGAGACTTGTAGGATCTGAGACCCTGTTTGTGATGAAGCTCCAGTTTCCATGACAACTGAACCGGGAGAGAAAAGCCAACCTTGGCTACTCCAACCACAGGGCAGGAAGCTGCCCCCTCTCCTGGGGCTGTCAGGTCTCTTCTGGTGAATGAAGGACACATTCCCTTGGGCCTTTCAGAAGCCCAAACCAAAGTGACATTATCAGGGGTCCATGTACCCTGTCCCAGCACCTGCTCCTCCCCCACTCCTGCCAGGAGCTGGGCTAAGGACCTGAGGCCCCGGAGGGGTCTGGCGAAAGGGACTTCACCGGGCAGGACACCATCTGTGCAACATTTATTGTACCTAAGGAAGCCCTCTGGGACCGGGGTCTCCCCACCCCACTCCCCTGGGCCACACCTTTGGGGAGAGAGCTCAGAGTCAAGTGGAGAGTTTCCCAGAGCAAAGGGGGAGGGGCACAGGGACACTCTGCAGCAAGGCTGTCTGGGAAAGACAGACTCACCCCCGAAAGCTCTCCAGCCACAGCCCAGAGGTGGCGCCAGGGTTCCCTGCTGGCCCCTGCCTTCCCCAGACCACCCCAAGTTCTGCCCTGGTCCCATCTCCTGGCCCCAGGAATGGAGCCTTCTGCCATCCCTGATGGCAGAGAAGGTTGGGGATCTCCTCGTCCATTTGAAAACAAACATGGTTCTTCTCCTACTTGACACATTCTGTCCTCTGCCCTGGGCAAAGCTCTGGCCCAGAGACCGGTGAGATCACGGCGCTACCCCCGCTGAAACGGAGGCAGCCCACAGCCTCGTCTGTCACCAGGTCCCCTTGGATTTGGGGCCACTGCTGTCCTGACACTCAGTGAAACAGTCTGAGGAACCACTCCTCCTCCACGTGCCCCGGTTACTGGGTGTTCTCATATTTCAGGTATCTAATCAGCCTGCCTGGGAGTGGCAACGTGTCCAAGAGTTTTATACGGTATTTCCCAATGGCTTTTCGAACTTGCAGCCGGCAAAGGTGAGCCAGGGGTCTTGGAGGTTCTGGAAAAAGGAGAGAGAGATGCTGATTCGCCATTTGCAACCGGCAGACGGTTTGCATCTGTGACCCCTGGTTTGTGGGAAGTAGCCAACCCACGTAGCTGGCTAAGAGAGTGGGTGTCTGGACTACCCCCATGCTCCATAACCCCGGCCCCTGCCAACTGAAAAGACGTCACCCCGCATTCGTCTGCACAGCCCAGGGAAGTAGTAGGGCAGGTACCAAACCCATTTTACAGGTGAGGGCTTAGTGGGGATCACACCTGGGACTAGAACTGGCATTTCCTTTGTCCTGTGCCCCCTCCTCTACACACCAGCCCAGAGCCCGCCCCTCCCCACAGCCTTAGCAAATATGACCTCTTAAGTGCCCCCATGCACGGAATTCAGCTCTGGGCTCTGGAGGGTGCAGAGAAGTCAGGGTCAAGGGGCAGGGACTGGGCAGCTTCCAGCAGGTCCCAGAATCCTACCGGGCTGCCTCCTCCAGGAGGCCCCCGGGATGCCTCATTCAGTGGAGTTTTCTCACCTCGGGGGCAGGGGGAGTGGGAGAGAGAGGTAAGAGCAGGACCTGATCCATCTAGTAATTCATTTCAGCCCTGGGAACAGGGTAGGTATTTGCTGAATCAAAGAATGCCATTCATTCATTCAACAAACACATGCTGACCCCTTCACTGTGGCTGGCCCCGTGCTTGGGCCAGAGATGCAGGGGTACCCACTCAGGAGCTTTGGGGAAAGCCTTCCACACCAGATGGTGCATCTGAGCAGGGTCCTGATGGGTGGGTAGGAATCTGCCGGGTGAGGGAGGGAGGGAGGCAGGGCATTCCAGGCAGGGGAAGTAGCAGTGCCAAGCCAAAGAGGCCACCGCCACTCAGGGAAGATCAGGGTGCAGCAGGAATGTGGGGGGAGTGGGGGGAGGCCAGCCAGCTGCAGGGCTGTCTCACTAGCTGTCCCATCACGGCCCTGCTGACACTTCCGCTGCCCTCTGATCTCAGGACCGAGGCTGCCCTCTGGGGTGCTCAGACCCGCACTCGGCTGAATGAAGTCTGAGCTTGTGGGAAGGCAAAAGGCCACTGGGTAGGCAAAGGACACAGGGCCACCAGGGCTGGTATCCTGGCTGGCTTTGGAGTCTCTGATGTCAACGTCACAACACGCACGTGGGAAAGTGTTTCGCAGATGGAGGGTGGGCTTTAAAGTAACCGGAAGAAGTATTGGTTAAGAACTATTTGTTCTTCCTGTTAATAAATGTTTGTAGCACACTAAAGGGTTCAGCATATTTTTTTCCCATGGACACAGTTTAGTTGGAAATTACCCTTCCCAGGCAGGGCCTGAGGAGGGGACAGTGAGAGGTGGGACGACATCTAAGCAAGGACCGCTCTATTCTCTAGTGGCCTCTAGTGGCCAGTCACGGTGATGGCAACCAATTATTCATTAATTCAAGGAACGTTTGTTTATTGAGCATCTAGAGTTCCCAGTGAGTGGGCAAGTCCATCCCACCCTCCCCCCGTCCTCTGCCCCCTCCTCCTCCCCACTATCGCCAGCCCAGTAACTTTATTAAGGGCCTCAATTCAAGAGCTCCCAGGCATTTGTGCAAATGGAAAATCCTACGGCAAGTGTGGGTTCAAAGGGGCACAGGGATCAAGGAGAACCTGGCAAGTCAGAGTTGGGGCACTGGGCTGTGGGACAACTGGACAGGTAACGAGGCAGCGTCTTCACCTGGGGACAGCAGCAGCAATGGTGGGATAATAATAACTTTCTGTGGGTCAGCCTCTGTCCTACGTGATTGACAAACATTTGGTCAGAGACAGGGCTGTGCCCCCTAGCGCCAGAGAAAGCCCTGGGGCAGCTGGATTGCCTCGGGGCAGGCATCTCCTCAGTATCGGCTGCAGCGCCCAGTTCAACTGGCTCTGACGCCTCACCTGCCCATAATTTCTGACAGGAATTCTTGGCCTGACTCAGCTAGGCTGCTCCATCTACACTGCACACAGCTGCTGGACCGTGGCCAAAGCCCACCTCACTGTGCCAGGTACACACCCGGCCCTGCAAACACCCCAAGCTGGCAGAGCTGGATGGGGCTGGACATTGAGCCTGCCAACCTGCTCTGTTCAGACAGGGATACTGAGGTCCAGAGGGGAGTCCTGCCCACGGTCACCCAGCAAGCCCCTGGTTCCAGAGCTCCGGGGGCCTGGCCCCTAGACCGGTGACCTGACAGCACTGGCACCACCCGGGAGCATGTTGAAATGCAGACTTTTAGGCCTCGCCCCAGACCTGCTGAGTCAGACTCTGCATTTTTAAACAAGATGCTCAGGTGCTTCGTGTGCACTTTGCAGTTTGAGATGCCCTAGCCCATAACTCCCTCCTCCACCCCACCACACTGCTTCCCAGTGGCCCATAATCCTGGGCGACTTACTCTAAAGGTCCTGATACCCGGCGGGGAGCCGGAGTTTTTGTTTAAAGCATCCTAGAGAGATTTAGTGGCGGGATGTTGGGGTCGATCAAGCCTGGGTTTGAAGCCCAGCTCTGCCACTAACTAGTGGTGAGACGCTCGCCAAGTGACAGTCTGAGGGTCAGGCTCCTCACTTACAAAACGAGGAATCACGGAGCCACTGGATGTGACACGCAGCACAGAGCCTGGCACGAGAAGGTGCTCATCAAATGTCAGTAACAGTCACAGGCCCCGAGTCCCGGCCTGAGTCAGGCAGGGTGAGCTGCCGGCCGCAGCAGTGACAGCCCCTACCTGCTTTCTCCTTGATGACAGCCCAGTCCTCGAAGCTGTCAATGTGCTCCTTCAGCCGGGAGCAGAGCTGCACGTTGCCCACGTAGTCCAGGAGGACGTCGATGATGGGCCCTGCCCAGCGGCTCACCTCCGGGGCAGACAGGATCTCGCAGAACTGAAAGGGAGCACACACGAGTGCTGGGACACCCAGGACCAAGGGCACTGCCTCGGCAAGCTCATCCTACAGGTGGGAACCTGCGGCCAGTGAGGGCAGGGGACACGTCTGAGGACAGACACTGGGCACGCCCAGGGTAGAATCCAGTTCTCCACATCCACACCCCTCTCTCATCAACACAGGCCTACTGCTGCCAAAAGCGGGAGGTGGGCAACTTGGGCAAGTCACATCACCTCCCTAAGCCTCAACGTCCTTGTCTAGAAAATGGGTATATGACACCAACTTCAAGGGTTTTTTTTTATGAGAATTAAGGTAATATAAACATAAACTTCTCTGCACACAGAGGATAGCCCATAAGTGATGGCCATTAGCCATTGTTAATATCTCCAAGAGGAGGGTGTTTCTAATTTCCTTTTCATTTTACATTCTGGCTTATTTAAGTCATCACCATGGACAGGTCTTGCCGCTGGGGTCACTGACTTTCTGCACCTCACCTGACCTTGTACCAGCCTGCTCTCACCTCCACCCGGATCCTGGTCAATCAACCTCATATTCAAGGTGTAGGTTTGCTGGGGGCGATGAACCCCTCAGTTTTGCAGTGTTCCTCACCAATCCCCTGCTCCACTGTTCCTTCCCCCAAAACTGCAGACCAAAGAAAGGACTTAATCGCTCACGTGAACCACTAAGTTCTGCTGCCTCTAAAGCATGCTAACACCGGGTTCTGCTGCCTCCGAAGAGCGCTAAATACTAGCTTACACTCCCTCCAAAGTGCACTGACCGTGAGTTCACGCTGCCTCCAAATCCTGCTAACCATCGTCTTCTGCTGCCTCCCTAGTGTACTGCACCCCGCCTCCGGTGCACACAGCCTCGGGAGCGAGTGAACCACTAGTCCCCCCAGCCTCCGGAGCGCACTGGCCCTGGCCGCACTCCCCCAGACGCGCCTTCCTACCTGGACCACGCCTGGCGCCTTGCTCGAGCCGGGCGCGTTGTTGAACCTGTTGGAGGACGACGGGGCGGGCGGGTGCGGGCCGTTGCCGTACAGGCACGAGAAGCAGGGCTCGCCGTTGCAGCCGAGGTCCATGAGGAACTTGAGCAGCGACAGGCACTTCATGGAGAACATGATGGTGGCGGGGAAGGCGGTGGGGTGCGTGGCGATGTAGGCATCGATGTTGGCGCCGTGGTCCAGCAGCAGCTGCATGGTGCGCAGGCAGCCGTGGCGGATGGCCACCAGCAGGGGGTTGATGACGTCGCGGTTGGGGTCGGCGCCGGCGAGCAGCAGCAGCTCTGTGGCGTACACGTTGTTGTTGACCACCGCGAAGTACAGCGCTGAGCTGCGCCGGTCCTCGTAGAGGCGCGCGCGCTCGGGCGCCAGGGGCGCGTTCACGTCGAAGCGCGCGCTCAGCAGAGCTTCGAGCACCTCGTCGTTGTTGCGCTCGGCGGCCAGGTGCAGCGGGCTGATGCCGCTACGGCGCACGCGCGTGCGGCTGGTCACCGGCAGCAACATCTGCACGATCCTGCGGGCGGGGCGGGCACGCGCGGGTCACGGGGCGGCCCGCACCTCTGGGCCGGACCCGCGCCCGGGGGGAGCGGAGGGGCCAGGCTCGGCCGCTCGCAACCACTGAGTGAGGAGGCACGGACCCACCAGCAGGGGGCGCCGCGGAGACAGCCGTTCTCACAGTTACCACTTGGGGGAGAGTGGGTCTGCTTTACAGATAAGGAAACTCGAGGCTCAGAGAGCTTCCACCACCTTATCAAAATCACAGAGCCAGTAATGAGTGGAGCTGGGCTTCAAACCCACAACGCTTAGCCTCCAAAGTCTGAGTCCTTAAAAACCTCAGCCAGACTGGCCTGTGGTTTCAAGAATCTCTTGCCGACTTATTTCAGGCTAAGGAGTGTTGCCCATTCCCAGCTCAATTATCTGAAGGAATCGATTAGAAGGCCCCCAAACCTAATGACTGCCTGGGCTACTATCTTCAGGAGGCAGTAGAGCCACATCGTGAAGCATGGAGCTAGACCCTGCCCTGCCTAGGTAGGCTGGGGGTGTGGGTAGGCGTGGGCGGGCAGGGACAGCCATATCCAAGGGCTCACTATGTGCCAGGAGACATCCAAAGGCTTTACAAACACTATTCGGTTTAATCTTTACAACACCCCATAAAGTATGTCTCGTCATTCCCTTTTATCCAGATGAGAAAACTCAATGCTCAGAGCGGTTAGGGGGCTTGCCCAGGCCATACATCGGGAGACAAAAACCAGGATTTGTACCCTCCTCTGACTCCAGGGCTGAGCTGTCCTGCATCTCTGTCTTGCTGCCCTGAGGCCTTGGTGGAGCCACCAGGTCCTGGGGGACAGGAGGGGACAAGTCTGTCTGGCCCCAGCCACTCCTGCCCCAGACCCCAGTTAGTCCTCAGTGACCATGAGGTCGCCTCCCTGGTCCTGGGAGTCTCAAAGCCTCTTCCCCTGAAGGCTGACTCTAGCCTCTCCCCGGCTCTCTGCCCTGCCTGTGGCTTGGAGAGGGCTGATCAGCTGCGGTTGAGGCTGGAGATCGCTGCCAGCCCTGACTCTGCTCTCTTCTGGTGAATCAGGGACTATTGGCAGCCCTTAACCTACGCTAATCTGTTACATCCTCCCAACAGCCCTATGAGATGTGTACTAGCATTAACCTCATTTACAGATGAGGAAAGAGAAGCCCAGGGACACACAGCCAGTAGGTGACGGAGCCAGGATTTGAACCCAGCTAGTCTGATGCCCCTAGAGTGAGGAGCGTACTCTTAACCACTCCTCTGCCTCTTGTGTGGCAGTCAGGAGACAGCTGCTATGTCACAGGGTTTTACATTCTTCACAACACATTACTTGCCTGCCCCATTTTATCTTCACTGCAGGCTGTGGAGGTAGCCAGAGTGGGTCTGTGGCCTTCTTTGTAACAGGCGGGGCTCAGGGGGATGAAGTGACTGATCAAGGGCCATAAAGCAGTTCTAGGGCTTGACCCCAGGAATCCTGACCCCTTGTATTTGCTGTCTTCCCCTAGACCCCTGCCACCTGCCAAGCTCTTGCCACTGACGTGATTACAGACCCTAACCCACACATTCCCGGCTGACAGGTGACCTTGTGTGGGCTCCAAGGATGTGGCCATGGCAGGGCAAGCAGGTGCCACCAGGCCCATTCCCGCACCTCTTTGCCTCCTGGCTCTTGGGCTCCTGGGGCTTCTGCCTTCTTAGAAATGTGATGCCAGGGACCTCCCGTTAGGATCTCAGTGGAAAGTATTATTATGGTTAGTGACGCTGTGTTTGCTTAAAATCTGCCTCTCAAACCTCAAAAGGAAATTCACACACCCAGGGGGGCTAATTGCCTCCTAATTTCTATTTGTGCAGGCTCAGGAGGCCTGACCTCGCTCTGTTGAGGTTCTGGTCAAAGGCGGGGGCCGGGGCCTCAGCCTGGACCACAGCCATCGCCAACAAATGCTCCCTAACAGCCGTAACATGCCCAAGCACGGGAAAAACAGCGAAAGGGACTGCCTGGGGCCACTGGCCAGATGGGCTGGTATCTCTGGCAGGTCACAGCTGGTCTCCACCGGTCCTTTGCCGAACCAAGGGAAAATGGCAGAAATGTGGGAACGTGACTGGACGTTGCCTAGAGTCCCAGAAAATAACACAGTGAAATTATCTAATTGTTGTGCGCTTCTGGAGGACTTGGCCAAGCTAAGAGTAAATGTAATGCTGGGCGGGGTCTGGAGATCAGTGTGTCCAGCCTCCCATTTTACAGAGGGTGAAACTGAGACCCGGGTGTGGGGTGGGAGGTGGAGGTTGGACTGGAGGTGGATGGCAAAGCCAGGACAGAATGCAGGCGTCAGAATGCCCAAAGCCAGGCCTTTCCATGATGCCCCAGTCTCCCTAGGCCTGGGGAGTGTTGGTCGCCCCGCTGCATGTCATCACTTCTCTCCCACAGCCCAGCTGGTGGGAGGAGGGCAGGAGGACGAGGGGGAGACCCCACAGGACAGACTGGGACGTTCCCATTTCCCCCACGGGCAGGTCCTGGGACCACAGGTACTCAAAATGCACCTTAAGAAGAGAACAAATGTACCCATTGCCTGGCAGAAACTTTGGTGTCTGGGAGGCCTAGTTCCCTGTCCCTCTCTTCTCCTTTCCCCAGCACGGAGGCTGCACCCACCAGCTCAGCCTCCTGGGTCACCGGGTCACGGTGGAGTGACCTCTGCCAGCATTCAGTATAAATTTGACCACGGACTTGACTTTCACGAGGGAGCCAGCTGCCCACAAATGGCTCTGCAGTGGTAGCACTGTGTCAACCTGGCAGTGTGAGTGTGTGTGTGTGTGTGTGTGTGTGTGTGTGTGTGTGTGTGTTGAGGGAGGATTACCTCTTTTCTGAGCCCTTATGGCTCCAGCAAAGGCTCCACCAGTGGAGAATCTGCCTGAGGGTGTTCCCGAGGGCACAGTGGGACTCCTGCCCACGGGGGATCCCTCTGGGGGAAAGTCTGCAGCTCTTCCCCTGGGAGCTGGAGCAGAGGAGCAGGTCCTCCACGAAGGAGGAAAAACAGGCCCACTGCCACTCTGTGCCACCTGCTGGATGAACAAGCAAGCCTAGGGGTCTCTGGGTCCTCGGAGAGAGAATGGAGCTTGCTGAGGACGCAAACTGCGTGCTCTCAATCCCTGTGCAACTCAGAATCCCTGAGGGAATGATGAAAATGCAGGTTCCTGGGCCCTGTCATTCAGGGCCCAATTCAGCAGGTCTGGGGAGGGGCCCCGGAATCTGAGGTGGGTGATCTATGCATCACGCCTTGAGAAACTTTGCTGCAAACCTTCATTTTCCTCCAGAACGTACAAGCAGTAAACCAGTTTCTGGAGTGGATGGGGTTAGAGAAAGGGGCCTGTCCTCTTATTTTCTGGGAGGACTTGAGCGCTGAGCCTCAGTTTCCATTTTAATTAACGGGCATGCTAACTTGCTTATGAATGTGTTGAAAAATGCATTTTAATTTAATGTATTAAATGTTCTCTATTCTGCCTTTCCCAGAAAGAGTTTTAAGTGGCTTGCAAAGGTAATATAAATTAGAAGTAAAAGAGAAAGGATATTTAAAAATTAGTGAAGGCCCAAAATACAAGTCAGTATTATATGTCAGCCACAAACTACACATTGGTTCTCCCCTGGGATGTCTGGTAAAAGCACCTGAGGGCTTTTAGAAATCCTGCAGCCCTAGCCCCAACCCAGATTGCTTACAGCGATATCTCTGAGAGTGGCGCCCAAGCCTCAGGGTTTTAAGAGTTCCCCAGGGTTCCAGTGTGTAGCCAAGGTTGAGAACCAGTGGTTTCAGTGCTATTCTAAATTCAGTTTAAAGGGACCCTGCGCCATCTGCTCTTGTCTAATACTACTTCTTAATAAGTCTATCTTTGGTGCTGAGTTTTAATCTCATAAGGTGTCTTTGCTAAACTGGAAATGAAAAATAAGAAAAAGTGTGTCTTGGGGCTTCCCTGGTGGCGCAGTGGCTAAGAATCCACCTGCCAATGCAGGGGACACAGGTTCGAGCCCTGGTCCGGGAAGATCCCACATGCCGCGGAGTAACTAAGCCCATGCGCCACAACTACTGAGCCTGTGTGCCACAACTACTGACCCCGTGCGCCTGGAGCCCGTGCTCCGCAACAAGAGAAGCCACCGCAACAAAGAGTAACCCCTGCTCGCCACAACTAGAGAAAGCCCGTGTGCAGCAATGAAGACCCAATGCAGCCAAAAATAAAAAAAGATAAATAAATTTATAAAAAAAGAAAGAAAGAAAGAAGAAGTGTGTCTTGGAGGGGCCTAAGACTTTGGGGTCTTGGGGTCTCCTTTCTCAGCCACGCCCAAATGTCACGCCCTCCAGTTAAAATTGCTGAAGGCACCATCTGGCGAGCACCGAACCCAGATGCTGGAGCCGCTTTCCATGCTACGGACAGGAAGGGCGTCCTGGCAGGTGGTGAGTGCGGAAGGCCTAGGGAGGTTCACATCAGATCCCCAAGCAGCCAAGGGAGGACAGCGTGAGAGGGCCACATGCCACGTGCCTAGAGAATGAGTGCAGCACTTGGGGCTTGCCTGGCCGCGGGCCCTGCCAGGCGGCAGGAGCTGCTGGGAGTCGGCTTTACTCCTTTGTAGGGCAGCCGTCAAAAGGTGGCCTGGGCCCCTCAGTCTTGGGGTCGAGAGGGAACTGAGGTCTGAGAATGGAGGGTGAATAACCAGGGAAATGGCTTTGGGAGTCAGCACGAGTCCAAAGCGGGAGACTCTGGGAGAGCATAAGCCATTCACACTGGTGGTTGCAGAGAGGCCCAGCCTTTCTCCCTGGCCATCCTTAGCCACACCCAGTGCTCTCTCAAACTCCCCACCAGCTGGGGCCAGACTGCTGACATCTAGTTCCACCTGAAGGCACTGGGTGTGACTGGAGGATGCCAAGTGACAGTCCCAGCTCGGCCACTCTCTGGCAAGCCACTTCCCATCTCTGTCCTCTGGTCTCTCCTCTGCAAAATCAGGCTTGGATTAGATCAATGGTCCCCCCGCCTCCAGAGGTCTGGCTGGGCTGTATCTGGTTGACTCAGAGCTTTTCAGTGATAGAGACTTGGGCTCCTTCTCTCCTGGAGATTCTGGTTCCGTGTGTCTGGGATGTGCCATTTAAAAAATAGCCCAGAGTGACTGCGCTGTACAGGCAAGTATGGGGAGCCAGTGAACCAGGAGATTTCAAGGGTCAGCCCTTCTGTCTCTTTCCCTCGGGATCTCTCTGGAGTCAGGTTAAGAGAATCCCTGTGTGTTGACTGATGCTGGATCTTTCTGGAGATGAAGAGCAAGATGCTATCTTGCCCACCACCTCTGCCTGACTGAAGTTGCTTTCATCCCTTCATTGGCTTCACTGAAAAGTTATGGAATGTACCCTCCCTACATAAGAGAGAACGCAGGCCCAGTGAGCACCTACTGTGTGCCAGGTGCTCTGCTGAGGGCTTTATTTCCATTCTATAGCCGCGTATATCCATTTCACTAGTCCCCGCAACAGCCCCTAAGGCAGTGCCACCTACCTCCCATTTTACACAAGAGGGAATTGAGGCTCAGAAATGTTAAGCAAGCTCCCCAGGGCCTCAGGAGGCATTCAAACCCAGATATGTCTGCCTCACGGCCGGCCGGCTACTTGGTCCAGAGAAGGCGGGGTCTACCCTGTGCATGTATGGGGCGTGGAGGGAGGAGGGCATCCTTGGTTGGTCATTTGTGCGGGTACCTACAGAGCAGGGCCTGGGGCCCCTGAGGGTCAGCTCTGTCTCCTTGTGTCTCCACTCCATTCTCCAGGATGTCACTCTCACCCCCATTTCCCTCTGCCTTAGTGGAGACCACCCACACTCTCCAGCACGCAGGATCTTCTCCCTGCTGAGGACAGGGCTGCATTTCCCAAAGTGTGTCGTCTGGGGTACATGAGATGGGATTTTAGGTGAGAAGGTTTTTTTTATTAATTGTAACTTGATAATTTAATAGTGTGATAAATGTTCCCTTTTGAAAATAAATTCATTTAAAATAATAACGTCTTGAAAGGAAAATACTAAGAAGTGAGGGTACAGATATCTAAAATCAGGAAGAATGTCTGTGAATGCTCAAAGTTTGGGGAACACTGGTCGAATGGAAATTACTGGGCCCTGTGCACCCTCCATGGGCAGCTAGAATTCTACCTCCTAGGCGAGTCTTCCCTGACCCTCCAGCTAGTGGTGGTGCAGGTGGGGGTTTAACAACTTGCTCTCTGGGGGGAGGAGGGGCCTCTGATTTCTAACAATCATTAATTTCCATGGTGTAAATACTCTTACCATGGCCATTTTCAGACTACCAATGTGATCACTCAGCTCACAGGAGCTGTACAAGCCAGCTGTAGCACTCCTCTGCTTCCAGCCCATGCTAGTCTCTAGGACCACCACGGACCTCAGCTCTTCATGCTCTTTCATTTGTCATGAATTTGTGTGTGTGTGTGTGTGTGTGTGTGTGTGTGTGCGTGCGCACGCGTGCACCTTCCATCCCACCAGATTGCTCCCTGAAAACTTAAGCTTCTCTCATCTCACTCAAAGTACCTAGCACATAGTAAGTGCTTAAGAAAAACTAGCTAGTATCAATGGTACTATTTGTATTATTGTAGGTATCCCCTGTATACCTGCTAACTGCCTAAGTGGTTATCTTTGCATCCCCAACAGAAATATCCACTAGTCCAGACTCATATCTGGCTTTCTGTGTGGAATCCAGTAGATGTGACGTTTGGAACAGGTGAGTTCCTGTCATTTGCAGGCTGAGTGACCTTGGGCAAGTCGCTCACCCTCTCTGTCTTAGCTTCCTCATTTGAGAAAAAATGAAGATAATCGTTATCTACCTCAGTAGATCTGTTAAAAGAATTATGAAAAGTACAATTGTTAAAAGAATTAAACACACTTCTAATGTAAAGTGCTGGAAGGTGCCACACAGGTGTTGGCTATTACTGTCCCTGCTGTTGTAAGCATTCCCCCTAGCTCGCTGACTGCTGAGGGGTCTTCCTCTTTTCCACCTAAAATGTGGCCTGGGCTCTGACCTCTCCTGGGCCTCCCGACCCCCGTGGGCGGGGCATTCAGAGGAATGGGTGGGGCGGGGGAGGAGCCTCAGGGGCGGGGGCGGGGCCTGGGCTGACCTGTAGTTGCCCTTCTTGGAAGCGATGTGCAGCGGGAGTATGCCATCCTTGTTGGCCTTGTTGGCGTCGGCACCCTGCGACAGCAGGAACTCCACCACCTTCTCGTGCTCGTTCTTGCAGGCCTCGTAGAGGGCAGATGCGTGGTCACTGGCCTGTGTGTTGATCTCAGCACCTGGCAAAGGAGAGGCGGATGGGTGAGTGATCAGGGCGGTCACTGTCCTCGATGTAACGCCCACCTCGGGCTGGCTGCTGCTGCCCTAACCACTGTGATACATTGGATCACCCAGAGGACCTCCAGCTCCTTTCTGCTACCTTGAGACCCGCCGTCTGCCATCCTGAGCTGCGACAACGATGCCGGGATTTACTGAGCGCTTGCTCTGTGCCAGACGCTGTGCCTTACCTATGCTATCTCTTTGAGTCCACAACATATTGTAACCCCATGCAATCAGTAACAACTTTATCTCCACGTCACAGACAAGGACGATGAAGCACAGAGAACCTCTGCAACTGGCCCCAGAACCCCCAGCCCATAAGGGAAGAGCCAAAACTTGAACCCCGATGATCCGATGGCAGAAGCCTTGACAGATGGTCAGATGGCAGAGACCATGCTCTCAACACTCATTCCACCTAAAAGGATCCAGATCCTGCCCTGAGGAAGGTCCTCACAGCTCTAGGAGGGCACAGAGCCTCCTCGTAAAGAAAACCCTAATAATTTTATTCATTGGGATTTGCTCTTCCCTGCCTTCCATTTCAAGGAATAAGAGAGGAATTACTTCTTGTCTCCTCTGGAGGGAACACTACGCCGTGCTGCGGGAGGGAGGAGTCCAGCCTGGTGACAGAGTCTCCCGTGAGCCCAGTCCCCTACGCCTTCTCCGTCTCCTGGTGGTGATGGAGAGAATGCAGGGGTTTCTCTGCAAAGAGCGGTGCAGCCTGTTCCCAGTCCCTCCCTATTCCGGAAGGAAATAGAACTGAGACGGCAGTGAAATGTCAGTAAGGGCTGAAATCAAGAGCATCTGTTAACCACAGATCCCCTCTCTCTGGGCATCCAGCTTATCACAAGCTTTCTTGTAATTTAAAATTTTTGATGACTGATTTCTGGTCTAGAGGAAAGAGCACAGGCTTTCATGCCAGACAAGAACCAGTTGAAGTTTCTGTTTCATGCTTTACAAGCTCTGTGGCCTTGGGCAGCCTTTAGGAGCCTCAGTTTTCTCATCTGTTGACCAGGAATAATAGTACCTACTCAACTGCAAGGAGTAAATAAGGCAATGTAAGCAAATACCCGCTATAGACTGAAACACTCATGTCCCCTGAAAACTCTTACGAAACGTAATCCCCGGTGTGGTGCTATTAGAAGGGGGAGCCTTTGGGGGGTGATTAGGTTATGAGGGTGGAGCCCTCATGAATGGGATTAGTGCCGTAATAAAAGAGACCACAGAGAACTCCCTCACCCCTCCACCATGTGAGGACACAGAGAGAAGATGGCTGCCTAGGAAGTTGGGACAGGCTCTCATGGGACACTGAATCCACCTTGATCTTGGACTTCCCAGACTCCAAAACTGTGAGAAATAAACCTTGGTTGTCCATAAGCCACCCAGTCTGTGGTATTCTGTGAACTAAGACAACCTCCCCACCAGGTGGCTGGCACAGAGGGGCTGCTCAGCAAATGCGAGTTCTCCAGGATGGAGGGGCCGGGGCGCTGAGGCTGGTTCTGCCTCCACCCCGAGGGAGACTTGGCCAGCGTCTCAGACACTGCCAAGCTCTCAGAGTCAGGCTCCGTGGAAGCCTGGACCCCGCCGGCCTCCGGCAAAGCCGCCTGCTCACACAAGAAAAATATTTGCATTTGCAAATGGACTCAGCCCACAACGGGAACAGACCCTGACTCAGGGCTTCAGCGGGAGAGCTGGGCAGATGTTGTTTAGCCTTAGCCAGTTCCCCTCGCCTGTCCGCTGAGCACCCTGCCCTTTGCCCAGCCTCCTTTCCTGGCTCCCAGGACCCTCCCTCAGGCTGGTCAGCCCAGATATGTCCCCGGCGGCAAGGAACTGCCCTGGGTCTGTTTTCCCAACTGCTCGGGCACAGTGCTGAGTAGGTGGTTGCTTATCCAGGCCAAGCCCCAGGATGGAAATTCTCGAGGCCTGGGGCGGGGTGGCGGGGTGTGAAGAGCATGCAGTTTGGAGTCAGATGGACGCAGTCGGAGTCCAGGCTCTGACCGTGACCAATCATTTAACCTCTGCGAGCCTCGGTCTCCTCATCTACAAAACGGCATGAGGACACTCCCTACCTCTTAGGGCTGTGGAGGGAACCCCACTGGCTTCTTGTGCTCATGCTTTAGTGCAGTGCCCGGCACACAGTGGGTCCTCAACAAATGATTCCAGCTCAGCCCCAGCGTCTGGCTTACCTCTGGGTTCTCTGTTGCTCAAGTGGAAGTGTCACTTCCCATGGAGAGAGAAAGGAAATCAAAAGTGTTCTTGGGGTAGATCAGAATATAATACTCTTTAACCAAAAGAATGTCTGCCAAAGTCTTGGAGTCTTCTGTTACTGGGACATGATATTTCAGGCAATGTTATTTTATTTTGTCCCATTAAGTGAACAAAGATTTTTCAGAGGCAAGGGGTGCAAAGACCAGGGTTCAAATCCCAGTTCTAATTTTCCGTGAGACCTTGGACGAATCATTTTCCTATTCTGGTCCTTGGTTTCATCACCTATAAAGTGAGGAGGTGACCTAAATGTTGTCTGAAGTTCCTTCTGGCCATGATAGAAGAGAAGTGGTTAGGGTGTCGGGAGACTAAGATTCTGGCTAGTTCTATCACTAATTTGCTACGTGATTATAGATAGATAAGTCCCTTCCTCTTTCTGGGCCTCAGATTCTTCATTTGTAAAATGAGGTTGTTGGGCTAGGTTAGAGATGGCTAATATACAGCACGTGTGCCACCCCACTCCAAGTTTGTGCCTAATTGCAGGGATCACTTGTGGAGCTCAACACATTTCCGGCTGAGCCTAGACACAGCCTCAGAATCCTTCTCAACACAGTATTCCCGGAAGATAGCATCACTCAGTCAGAGTATATCCATAGAGGACCCCTAAACTTGCCTTCCCTTAGAGTTTGTCTCTGAGGTCCTTCCCAGCTGTGCCCCTTGGGAACTCCATGACCCAGGGACCCTAGCACTCACCGTGTTTGGTCAGGAACCTCAGTGCCTCCAGCTGCCCACTCTGGGCGGCCACGAACAAGGGGGTGATGCCATAGGCATTCTTGGCTTCCACCTTAGCACCTCTGCTCACCAGGATCTCCATGACCTCCAGGTCATTGCGAGCAACAGACTCGTGCAGAGCCGTCCAGCCTCGGTTACAGCGGTGGTTCGTGTCTGCGTTGTACTGCACCAGAATCCTCACCGCCTCCACGTTCTTGCGCTCACAGGCTGTGCCCAGGGAGAAGCAAGATGGTCAGCAGGGCCCCGGCAGGAGCTGGCCAGCCAGGACTTCATTCATTCATTTGTCCGTCTACCCATTCACTCATCAGCCATAAGTGGATTCACTCAGCAAATATCTACTGGATCTGCGCTAAGTTTCAGCCTCTGCATAAGCCACTAAAAGTCATAGTAATACGGATCAGAATTAATATTTGCTGATATGTACCTGACACTGGTTATGTGCCAGGCACTCTATTCTAAGCACTTCTCATAATTAACTAATTTAGTTCTCCCAACCACCCTTAAAGGATGTAGTGTTATTCCCTTTCACAGATGAGAGAAGTGAGGCACAGAGAAGTTAAGTGACTTGCCCAAGGTCACACAGATAGTAAGTGGCAGAACTGGGATTCAAATCCAGGTAGTCCGTTCTGGAGTCTCTGTCCCCTGGAAGGTTCCAGAATGCCCCTACCTCATCTCCCTTTCCAGTGTTACCTGCTTCGGTCCTCCACGAGCCAGAAGGGGAGGAGGAGGGCAGTGCCATCGTCCTGATCAAAACACTTCCTCAAAAGCTACTCACTTAATTTGGGCTAAAATCTATCTTCTGAGTCTGCTCAAACATCCCGTATAAGCCTCATCTTGCAGTAGGCCCTAAATGCAGCCTTAGCACTGGCAGAGCTATTACCAGGGAGGCTGGGCACTTGTCCAAATTAACCATCCCTAGAAGCTTCTCTGAGTCAGTCAGAGGGGGTGGTGAGAAGGAAGGGGGGCTGCCTGTGTAGTGTTTCAAACAGGACCCCAGGCTTGGTTTCCTCACCTGTAAAGCACAGATAATGGAACCTTCCCGAGAGGATGCCGTGGGAGGGTGGAGTGAGGTAGCATACGAAGGCTCTAGGGTGGAGCTTGGCACATAGTGGAGCTCATGCGGGACCAGGGCCCGGGCTTCAGCTGTGAGTCACCCAGCATATTGGGCGCTCTCTCTGCGTCAGCTCCAGTGCCCGGGGGACATGAGTTCTAGGGAAGACACTTCCACCACAGGTCTGCAGTGGACCTGGTTCCTGCTGCCTATGGAATGTTCCAGGTGCTGGATACCAGACACAGGGAAAGTTGGAGATTTCTGTAGTTTTTCAACGTGTAAAGGTCCTATCATTTTTGCAAGCCCCAAAGCTGATTGCTTAAGCGTATAGGCATGAACTAAACACTTGATCGTGGAGTAGTTCAGAGTGTGGTGCTGGCATCCAGCTCGCGGAGTTTAGATCCCAGATCTGCCCTTGCTGGCTGTGTGATCCTGGCTGCCTCATGTCAGTTCTCTGTGCCTTAGGGCTTCATCTGTAAAATGGGATACTAGCATCGCCTACCTCGTACGTGGATGGATATGAGGGTTAGAAAAAAGAACACAGCCTGGTACTTAGTAAGCACTCAGTAAATACCAACCGTCATGAGTATTCGGATTTTGACCCTGGGTACTGCCAGGGCAGCCAGTGAATGTCCTTGGATGATGTATTGGGTAAGACAGGAGTGTTTCCTTTTCTCGAACATCCTGGAGGTACAAATTCCCTCTCACGCCTCTTTGCTTTTGCCTATGCTGTTCCCCTGGCTTGTCCAGCTGGTAAATCCCTCCCATTCAGGCTCAGCTCTGGGACCGCCTCCTGCGGATGCCCTCTTCCACATCAGGGCCCCTCCCCAATGTTCCCAGGTGCCTTGTGCCAAGCTCTTCAATGCCAGTAGCTAACTATTACATCATCTGTGAATCGACGCCCACCAGATGGGGAGAGCACATGGGCACGGACCGCATCTTTTCATCTCAGGGCTCTCAGCATGCCTGGCCCATGGGAGGACTTGGGAAATGTTGACTGAATATGTACATGAATGAATGGTTCAACTATGTAAGTTATACATCTAAACGAGGCTGCACCATCAAAGTAGACCCCCTTGGGGAGTTGTACAATTTGCAAGCAATCCTCCCCATTGCCCACCTAGTTTCTGGACCCTCCCTCGGGGAAGCCCACCCCAGTGGGCTCACCTTTGTAGAGTGGTGTCTCTCGGGCCTTGTTGGAGATGTCGGGCTCAGCCCCAGCCTGGAGCAGGGATTGGAGGCAGTCCAGGTGTCCCCTGCATGTCGCCAGGTAAAGGGCCGTTTCCTCCTGCAGGGTGCGCTGGTCAATGATTGCCGGGTATGCTGGGGAGGATAGACCAGGAAATTCAAAAGGAGGAAGATACCCACCTCCCCCTCCAACACAGGGGTGGTCCCAATTTCCTCCCAGTTCCAGGGACAGATGTGAGTGGCCTCCACCTGAATTGACCATCCACACTGCCACACTGCCCTGGCCTTGGATTCAGTCACTTTCACAAGGCTGTTTCAGCTTCCCGGTCATATTAATCCAGCTCAGATGCCACCTCCTCTGGGAAGCCTCCCCTGGTTGAACCCCCTCCTTCTCCGAATGACCCTGTCCTTCCCTTACACTCCCACCAGCCACTGCCAGAAGTCCGTCTCATGTAGTCGCTCCTGCCCTGGAGTGTGGTGGGCTGCCTGGGGTCCGTGCTTCTTGAGAGCAGAGGTAACTCCTGCCTGCAGGTGTTACCCATCCACATCTGGCCTGGGGGAGAGCCGAGGCTCAGAGAGGAGGCATGATTTGCCCAGAGTGTCACAGCTGCTGGAGACGGCCTTGGCAGGGCACAGGCACAGCTGCGGTATTTTCCACACCAAATCAGCCCCTGGAGCATTCTCGAACAAACTGGCAGTGGCTCTCCCACAAGTCAGCCTTCCCTCATTCCTTTTCTAGGAATTAGGCCCTCCTGTCCTGGGAGGCCTGGAGAGGTGGGGGGATGGGTGGGGCAGCGCTGGCGGGATGGCTTGCTTCCCCAAGCACTTCCTTGCTTCCAACTTGATGACTTTAACTCTGCAAGCGGGGTGGTAACTTTGCCTTGCCCCTTTCACTATGGTTGTGGTGAGGCAAAGCTCCGCAAGGAAAGTGACCTTGCCCGTGCGTCCGTCCCCATCTGTGGCTGCGCACAGAGCCCAGCGCCTCACCTTGATGCAGCGCCTTCAGGCAGCTCAGCTGGCCGTAGTAGGCCGCCTCGTGCAGCGGCAGCCAGCCCTCCTTGTTGGGCTCTGTGAGGTTCTTCCCCGCCTTGATCATCGCCTTCAAGGCCTCTTCATCGCCTTCCTTGATGGCCTTTAGCACAGGGTCCACGGGCCTGTGAGAGCAAGGGGCAGGTCATTCCTCCGGACTGGGGCAGGCAGAGGCAGGGCCAGGTGGCCTTTCTCCCAGAAGGAAAGCAGGGCCTGCTGGTGACCAGGAGTGGGGCTGGCTGTGGGATCGCACAGTCCTGCTTGGCCCTGCTGCTCTGGGACAGGTGCTCAGCCCCTGCAGCCGTGTCCTCTCAATAAGGTGAATAACTTTTCCTAACCCACATGGGCGTGCCCTGGGAACTCTGCCCTGACCTCGGCCCTGACCTTGGCCTCTCTGACTCTCAGCCCCGTCACGGCTTCCTCAGCCTGCCTGTGACCGGGTCAGCCTCTCCCTGCCTCCGGTCCTAAGCCCTCAGCTAACCACTGGCTTTTACATGTCTTTGATTGTTTGCCCACTGTCTGTCTCCCCCACTGGACTCTGAGCTCCAAGACCACAGGGCCCGTGTCTTTCTTTTATCCCTTATGATTTGGTTCCCACGGCCCAGCTCAGTGGCTGGTCCATAATAGGTACTTAATAAATACTTGCGGCTTGAAAGAAAGAGAGAGAGAGAAAATATGAAAGGAAGGGAGGGAGAGAGGAAGGATTCAGAATTTAAGAACCCTGACAATTATTTCACTCCTTCATCCCTTCTATTTCCAAAAAGACAGCCTCTTCCCTGTTAGAGTTTTGCTTGCGTCTTTGGGGATTGTATTTATATCTCTTTCAACACAGTCTTTGCAATGGCCTCCTCTGAGCGTTTGGAGGACGCACTGGCCTAAGAAGATAAAGGTGAGGGCTCTGGATCGGGCTTTGCCAGTGTTCCGTCCCCCTGTGAGCATCCCTGGGCCTGGAGTATTCCCATGCCTTTATCTCCAAGTTGGGCACCACAATGGGAAACTCCACTAGAAACGTGGCCGGCTCATTCACTTCCACAGATGGAAATCAAGGGTCCCTTTTAAACAGAGCTCCTTGGTGGCCAAAAGAGAATCAGGGGAACCCTCTGTCCCTGCAGCTTTCAGTGGCTGCGTCTGCTATACCAAGACCATTTCTACCAGGAGGATTCGGGCTTCCAGTGTCGGCCCCCCAAAGGGATAGATAACTGACCCCACTGGAGGTTTTAGTGATAATTAAACTCCTTCCCTGAGCATAGCACTCCAGAGTTTACCAAGCACCTCCACCTTTGGGGCCTGTTTTCACTGAGACAAAGGCGCAGACCCTTCAGAGGGGGAGTCCGTACAGTGAGCACCTCTCTGGGGTCTTCCCAACCCCTTTCCTTTCTCCGGACCCTTCTCCTCACCTCTAGAACTTTCAGCTGCTGAAAGATTTAAGTACCTGAAGGATTAATATGTTTGACACCTTCACAATTTAAAACTTCTGAATATCAAAAAGATTTCGGGGCTAATATGAAAGATAACTTCTTAGCTTGGCTCATCCAAGCCACTTCGTTTGTTTGTTCGTTCATTCATTCATTCATTCATTCATGCACTGAGCTGGCTTCCCCCATCCTTGGAGAGTCAGTGAGGACAACAGACTGCTGTGGGTCCACTCTTGGGGAAAGAGCTGCGTAAATGGTCCCATTTCCCTGATGGAGGAGGTGAGAACGGAGGCAGGTCTTGTCCCAGGGCCGTCATCCCTGTCAGTGGCCACGATAGGCCCAGAGTGTCTCCAGGGCCAGCCCCTTTACCCTCCCAGCTGCTCCCCCCTCCAGCATGAGCGGCACTTCCTCCTGACTCTCAGCCTCTCTGGTTATTAATAGCTTCAGAGCACAGATGCCGGTTAAGGACAGACCCAGCAAGGACGATGGGTAACTGACCAGATAAGCCCTGAAGTCCCCATCAACGCCATCACTGCCACCTTGATGAGTTCCGCTTACGAGCGGCCCAGAGCAGCCCCGGTTGGTGTCAGGAAAAGCCCCAGTGGGGTAGGTGTCCTGTCTCTCCCGGAAGGTCTCCTGTGGGACCCGTCTGAAGTGGAAGGGAGGAGGGCTGGCTGTTCTTGTGGCTTTGGCGGGTGTGCATTGTCATGAGAACATTCTTAGGACGCACCGCTCAGCTTGGGCCTCGTCCAGCTGTGGTGCAAGGACCCTGGAGTGCTCAGACACACACACCGCCAGCTTCTGTATGAGCTCAGCCAAAGTGCCCGCCCCAGGGCTGGGGGGAACTGCTGCGGGTATCAGACCATCAGAGACCGAGGAGCTGGACAGGACCCTGGAGGCCACTCTGTCCTCTCCAACCTTCTCTATGGAGAACGGAGACTAAGTGAGGGTCAGCGACTCACAGGCAGTCTCACAGGAAGTGGCAACAGCGCTGAGACCAGAACCTGGTTTCGCTTTTCCAGACTGTCAAAATCCTACCTGCAGCGCCCAAGGAAGAGAGGGGTGGCAGGGCTTGAAAAGGGCTGGGAAGAAGAAACAAAACATAGGCCAATTGTCTCCTCCCTACAGTGTAACCGATCAAGGAAATAGGGGCTCCAGCGATGGGACTGCTTTTTTGTTTTTAGCTGCTTCTGGGGTCGAGCAGAGAAGGAAACAGCACAGAGCTATTTTCTAAGGACTCACCTAGCCCAGCACCCTGGTGCCAGGCAAACAGAGCCTTTCCTGCATCTCGGATTATCTTTTGGTTTTAGCACCTGGCACTTAATAAATAAAGGCAACAAAGCAAACCAAAACTTGTGGGTATGGGCGTCGTGGGTGTGCTAAGATAGACCCACGGTGATGGCATGCGGGAAAGTGAGGCAGAATGGGGGGCTGGCTCATCGGCCTCAGCTCTGAGCCCCTGGAGTACTAGAGCCGTCTCCCCAGTCCCCCTCTCGCTGGGTCCCCAGGTTCAGAGCCCTACGGGGCTACTCCAGCACGCAGGGCCCATTCTGGGGGAACTGAGGGGTTAATCACAAGCTCGGCCTGGCTGGCAGTTCCTAGAGGATGGAGTCTGCGACCACCAAGCCCAGCTCGGCAGGAGCTGCTGGGTCTCAGGGGGACACACCTGGGAGGGTTGTTCCTTGGAGTCCCTCCAGAGTACCCCTCTTCCTGGGGGCTGTGGGACTGCTTCCCATCCCTGCACCCCAACCCCAGTTTAGAGGAGAATGGGCTTGGATGGTCTGGGGGCCGCGGGGTGGGGGCACTTACGCCAGCTGGAAGGACTTGCTGTGGTTGTATTTCTGCATAACCTCCTGGAACAGGCCCTTGGGGGCTGCGGTCGTGGCGCTCTCAGGAGACACAGCGGACCTGGAGGGTGCAGGGCAGGAGTGAAAGAGGGAAAAATACTCTGCATATGAGAAGCGGGTCATGGCCGGAGGCAGGAACGAGGATGGAGGGAGAGCGAGGGGGAGAGACTGACAGACAGACACAGGGCTCTGAACCAAAGCAGATGGCCGGGTCCTCCCTGTGCGCTGGACACAGCTGCTGTGTCTCCAGATTATTTTTGGCCCTTGGAGGAAGCCCTGGGAGATTTAAATGACCATATAAGACAACAATGAGGTTAACCTCACCCCAGCCCCGAAGGTCCCCCTCCCCAGCCAACCACGCAGGAGGCAGATATGAAGCAAGGTGACATTCTTCACCCAGGAGGATGTGAGGAGTAGTCAGCAGCAGGTCCCAGGATGAAAGGGGCTCAGTCCCAGGGCGGGCCAGGCTGGGTCCCCACAGGGATGGACAAGAGATTCACCGGGGTGGGGGGCTAGGAGAGCCAAGCTGGGGCGCCAAGCCAGGCCTGTGCTCTCACCCTCACCTCACTGGCTCCTCGTTAGAGGGTCCTGCTGTCCCAGGGTCAGGAACAAGCAGTACAAAGGGTAGAGCAAAAAGATGCATGAAGAATTTCATCGGAGTCAGGGCTTGGAGTCAGAGTGACACGGGTTCAAATCCAGGCTCTGGCACTCCCTGGCTGTGTGACCTCGAACAGGTGCATCTTCTCTGGGACTTAGTCTGGTGAGGCCTGAGTGTGTGAAGGGTGTAAAGTGCTTACCAGAGGACCAGGCACAGGGCTCCACATGTGTCCACCATTCATTGCATCATTATTTCGTCTCTCTGAGTCTCAGTTTTCCCACCCCACTGGGCTGTTGTGAGGACAGGAGGGGTGAAAGGAGGGGAGGTGGCCACTGCACAGATCTGGATTGGTTGGAGCTGGAATGGGAACAGGGCATGCTGGCCCATCTTCCAGTGGGTTGGGGACCCTGGTGCAACAGACACTCCAGCGGACCCGGCCTGGTCCCCTGCGCCCCTCTGCGGAGTCCCCTGAGGGATTGGGAAGGATGTTGCTACAGGTGACCAGCATCCCGTGGGCCACGGAGGTGCTGGAGCTGTGACCCTGAGGCCCTGCAGATTTTGTGGACACCCTCAGCCACACCGGGGCACAGGGAAAGGGAGGGAGCAGAGAGAGACAGGAAGGATGCCAGCCCCCTTCACCTGCTGCACCTCGGTCATCACCTCCCACCTTCCTTCTCCCCCACCTGCTCCTGAGCAGCGAGGCCGAGTGTGATGCCATGAATGCTAGAGCGGGTGCCAATGCCACCGCCTTTCCTAGACTCAGAGACTGAGGCTCCTAGAGGCAGGAAACGGCCCCAGGGTCACACGCAGCTGCAGAGTCGACTCCCGTCTGCCGCGGAGCTCCGACACACGCTCCCTCCTCCAGAGGCTTGGTGTCTCCCGCCCCTTTGTCCCTTCTTTGGCTCTCAGGCCACCATGCTGACAGGCCCTGAAACTGGGAACAAGCCTCCACCCCTCTCTGTGCCTCAGTTTCCTCCTTTGCAAAATGAGGAGGCAGGACCAGACCAGGGGTTTCCTCGCTGCTGTGGTTGCCGTGGAGACTTCACTGCAATGAACTCACATGGAAACTCAGGATGCCATACAGATCTCACACCACATCCTGGGGACAGGGGTGCAGAGACTGGCCCTGCCAGGGCCCCTCTTCCCGAGCCCTGAGAGCTGCTGTTTCAGTGTCATTATCTACCCTTGCTCCCGGCCCTGAGAAGCGGAGGATGCTGGGCAAGACGGAAGCAGCCGGAGGCCAGGCCCACCTGAGCAGTCCCCAGCCCTGTGGTCATGACAACGCCCTGGGCTTCTAGCTCTACATGGCCTGGGGACCCGGTCACTCTCATCATTGATCCATGTGTGGCCTCCCATCACTTTTTGATCTTAGAATGCTTTTAGCCAGGTAAAACTCATTGATGAAAACCTACCCACCACCCTAAAATTAGGACATCTCTCTGATGGTATAATAATAACAGCAACAATGGAACGGTGAGGCTGGTGGGGATGGCAGCGAGATGGCGACGGTGACATTCCCTCACAATGCGGCATGGCTTCGCCTCCTTTCTATGCTTGCACAGCCTGTGCTAGGGCCTGGGGGTGCAGATCGATGGCATATTTCTTTTTGTTGATCCTCAGGTGTTCAGAGGCTCATGGGATCGGGGGGGGGGGCGGGGGCGGGGGGCGGGTAGGCGAGGACACATACCACCACAGAGCCGCAAGGGAGGGGCTGGGAGAGAGGCAGGAGGACCCGCTCTGGGCGCTTTGAAACTGAGCGTGTTAACTAGGCTTTAGGGGCAGGCAGCATGAGTGCTCAGAGCCGGAAGGGGAGCCAGGCCGCTGACCGGGTTCCGTGCTCTTTCTGATCAAGGCGACAGGCCCCATTTCACCTTGGGTCCAGAGCAGGGAAATTCCCAGCAGAGAAAACCACTAGGGCTGAGTCATCAGAAGTGAGAGGAACACGGCAGGATGTGGGCAAAGATCATGCCCTGGAAGGGGCCCAGGTAGGGCCCCACGTCCTTTGTGTGGGCGGGCAGGCCGGGGTCAGTAGTATGTCACCATCACCAGCTCCCAACAGCCCTGTCCTGGAGTCCAGCTGGTCCCGGCTTCAGACACAGGTCAGGCTCGGTGAGGGTGGGGACCAGGGCTGTGATGATAAGGCCCCCTGACTTCTCAGTGGGCCCTGTCTGAGTTAGTGAGAAGCCCAGGCCAGCCCCAGGAAGGGTGTTACATTGGCCTGGACCTGGCTGAATGCGGGTGGCAAGCAGGCGTCTTAATAGCAGAGGGAGCTGACAAATACAAGAGTCTTCCCATGCCTGCCACCGAGCAGCATCCCATACCTGTCCTCCCATCTGGTCCTCACACGAACACAGGTGTCATGAGTACAGGGCCTGGCACCACAGGCGCTTGATAAATTTAAATGAATGAAACAAAACAAGCAAACAAAAGCCTTTGTAGGGATAGTGTCCCGTATGGTAATCTTGGTGCTGTGTGGTTGTATGCCAAAACCTCAAATTCCTGGAGAACCAGCCCCCTGCCCTGTTGGCTGGAGAGAGGAAGAGCTCACACAGGATTGCCCCCTCCACGCCCATTCCCCCCATGAGAGGTCTGTTTCCCCCGCACCCACTGGCCAATGCATCCTTTCTGGGCTGGCCAGAGAGGACTCGCATGTAGAGAACATGGATTCCAAGCTGCAGCAACTTCTGCCTTCCCATCCATGGCTAAGATTCATTGAGAGCTTGCTTTGTACCAAGTCTTATGATAGGCACATGGCACAAGTCATCTCATTTCATCCTCTAGTCCACTTTGTGAAGGAGATGAAATTGGCTCCCTTTTGCGGATGAGGAAACTGAGGCTCAAAGAGGTTTGCTTCCTTTAGCCTGTTTGGCAAACTCCTATTAATCCTGCAAAGCCCACCTCCTTGACTAAGAAGTAGATCAACCCTTCCTGTGTCCCTCTGACACCGAAGCAGGCCTCTTTGCTGCATCCATCCTGTTGGATGATTATGTACCTCTGGGTCTTTGCCCCCATTAGACTGAAAGCTTAGGGAGAACAGGAACCAGGCCTGATACACACATCCAGGTGCAGGGAAGTCACCTGGCACATCGTAAGTGTACAGTAAGTGTAGGTGGCTTATTTGAATTGTTTGCAGCTGTGCACACGTCAGCCCAAGCAAGTTCCTGCTTCATTCTTTCTTCCTTTTTCTTCTCAGAAATTTAACCTTAAATAAAATGCAGAAGTTTAAAGACTGGAAGACTCAGCTTCCTGGAGCCACTCGGACTGCTATTTTCGTACCCTTGGGCTCCCTGTTCCATGAGTGCATGAACCCTACTTCTCCACTGGATGGGACGTTGGTCTGCCTTTCAGGGGGCCCTCAGTGGGCCAAGCCTTGGAAAATGATCCTCATACATGTTCAACCTTCACCCCTTACCTCGTGGTGGGAGAGGAACAAATTGGAAGATGACTTTAAAAGGGAATATTATATTTTCTCTGGGATGCTGAGCTGACTTTCATTTCTAGGATCCCAAAGACCCGCTTGACCTTTACGTCCACGTTTGCCATTTTGGTCACAAGCTGATGACAATAAATTATATTTCTAGAGAATTTTATTGGATTCAAAATGCAGGGACTTCCCTGGTGGTCCAGCAGTTAAGACTCCGCGCTCCCAACGCAGGGGGCCCGGGCTCGATCCCTGGTCAGGGAACTAGATCCCGCATGCCGCAGCTAAGAGCCGGCACAGCCAAATAAATATTTTTAAAAAATGCATTGATTTGCCAAAAAACATTCATTGGGCATCTACAATGATCCAGGCTCTTTGCCAGGTACTGAGGATACAAAAGTGAGTAATATCTCTTCCCTGTCCCCAAGGAGGTCACACAGTGTCCCTGGGGACACTCTCAGGAGGCCGGGCAATGCCTTCCTAGGGTGACACAAAAGCTTGTCCATGATACAGAGGCAGCCTTGAGATGGGCACTCAGGGTCCTCAGGGAGGAAGCGGAGCGAAGTTATTCAGGCTGCAGGATGTGGGACAGCACCCACCTCATCTGATTAGCTTTTCATAAGAATACTGCACAGTAGGCCTGGGCAAGTTTTTGTTATTGCCATCTTAGGCATAAGGCTGCTGGGGCTCAGAAAAGTCAAGTAACTTGCCTAAGGACACACAGCCAGTAGGTGACAGAAGAAGGAGCCGAACCTCCCAACCCACTCCTGTTTCCACTCTAGCCTGCCACCTCCTCACTCATTCACGCATTCATCCGTTCACCAAGAGCTATGCGGTGTTGCCACGGGTCAGGCCCTGTGTGCTAGACACGAGGCCTCACCGGAAGGAAGACGGCTGAGGCCCCTGCCTTCAAGGAGTTCACAGGTTAATGGCAGAAAGAAATACATAGAGACTGTTGTAGTCAGGGCAGTGAAAGAAACAGTCAGGAAAGTAAGAGAGCAACGTGCCTGACCTGGGAGGCTGGTCAAAAATGAGGCGGAGCTGGCCAAGTGGAGCCTCTGGGGACATATGTGATGTCCGCTTTCTAAACCTGCTGTGGGTCTACTTAGATGAACACTATGATATTTGGGGGAAAAAGTGGACAAGGACCCTATTGGGCCCCATACTTACTGTGACACCATGTCTGAATGTGAGCACAAATCCGTGTGTCTCTTGTTTGGGGGACCCTGAATCTCTGTGGGGAGAAGTCTCTTCAAAGTGGAGGAGGGACAGGAAATAGAGAGAGGCTTTTGCAGAATCAACAGAGCTGGTCAAGTGACTGAACTTCAGGGTGGGACAGACCTTGGTTCAGTTCCTGGCCCTGCCGGGCGTGTGTTTTGTCATGCGTAAAATGGGCACAGAAACGTCCACCTTGCGTGGCTTTTGTCGGGATCAAGTGAACGCCTGTGGGCTGGGCATGTGGAGGAAGAGAATGTGATTAACAATCCCATGAAAGGGATTTGCTTCCCTAGCAGGGCCCAACCCAGCCTCCTTTCGGAGATGAAAGGGCAGAACAGAGCCTAGGAGGTTTCAGGTCACATCAAGAGTGAGGAGATGCAGGCTGAATCCTGCCCTGCCTGACTGTGCCTGGATCTTGGGTGAGGGCCGCATGGCCTTGGATAAGTCCTTTCCCTGCTGCGTGAGAGCTTTCTTTCTCAGGATAAATGTTTACACCCCACGTGGGGCCTCCACTTCCTTACCACTAGAGGAAGGAGGAGGTCAGGGCCCAGTTCTAATGTTTTCAAGTGTCTACAGCACTCCTGGAGGGGGTTCCCACGCTGGGCAGAAGGCTGCAGAGGCCCCAGGACGTATGGCTTGTGCTGCAGGCCGGGTTGGAGGGAACTTGCTCTTCTCTCTATCTGATCCCTCTGAGAAAGAGGAACCTGTGGTCTGATTTAGGCTGAACTGGCCAAAACAGGAACCAGGGTCTCTAGAGCATCAGCCACCACGAGTCCTTGGCCCTGGGCTTCTGTTTTTCAGATTGGGTCTCAGGATGGGATGTCCTTGTGGTCAGCTCAGTAACCTGGAGCCTTCATATTCCTTCCAGCTGCCCAAGGAGGTTGCCTGCCTTCCCCTTTAGGGAGGGGGCTCCTGAGTGATGGGCAACACAGGCCTTTGCCCAGCCTTCCTGGCAGAGGTGGTCCAGCCTTGGAAGGGCCAGAGTCACTTGGGGAACACCCTGGTAGGTTTCATCAGGGCACAGGGCCAAGATGTACTGTCACCTACCTTCATCCGTGTCGACTGGCTCTGGACATCGGAAAAAGTCTGTTTATTGTTGCTGCTGTTATTACCATTATTGTTTGAGGTTCAGAGAGGTTAAATGACTTGCCCAAGGTCACACAATTCAAAATTGCATCTGTGGAACTGCAGTTGTGGCCCGTATCATATTTCTACTGGTGCGACATGGAACTGCTGTAGGTGGTCCTGCTAATGGGAGGATGAGGTCGTGCTGAGATGGGGAGCCAGAACAGGAGGCAGGATGGTTTTCTGGGCAGATGTCATTGCTTCTCAGACATGTTTTGCCAGGGTGATGGCATAGAAAGGGTTGGAAGCCCTGGCCAGATTCAGAACATCAGTTCCTTTGCATCCAGACATAAAGCCAGTGGTACAAGGCCGAGCCATGGGCTCTGGAATCAGATAGCTCCAATCTCTGCACCACTGCCTGCTAGCTGTGTGACCTTGGACTAGTTACTCAGCCCTGAGCTTCAGTTTCCTCATCTGTAAAATGGGAATATAGCATAGAGCCTCCTAGAAGGTCCTTAAGAGGATAAAATGAGGCAAAGTGTGTACAGCACCCAAGGTGGCACTTGGCACCTTCAGAGCTCAGTAAGTTTAGATAACAAATGTTAGTCATTACAGTGTGAAAATGCACCTTAGAGACCAGGATAACTTGGTCTTGGATTAACAGTGTTTGGGATCTGTGCCTGATGGACGCCCCATCTGGCCTCCCCTCGCTCACCTGGTCCACGGGTAGAAATGCGCAGGTTCGCGGTTGACACGTGTGGACACAGCGGCCTCAGTGGTGGCTGGGCCCCGAGTCTTGTCAGCCAGGCTCTGCTCAATGGCCATCTGGACCAGCTCATCCTCGCTTAGGCTGCTATACAGGTTGTACTCCTCTTGCCCAATGGCACGCTGTCTGCCCCGAGCACTGATCTCCGTGGCCATCCTCTTCCACCTCTCACCTTGGCCTCCAGAAGACACTCAGTGGGGAGGAGCAAGCATCAAATCAGAAAAGTCTGTGAGGAGATCAAAGCCACCCTGGTCACTAAGAGTTATGCAAGGTAGCTATGTTTACACACAGGGAAGCCTGTGCTTTCTTGTGGCAATCACACAATCATTTTTCATCCATTCATTTTGTCATATGATCCACCCAACCACCCATTCATCTACACATCCATCCACTCACTCATCTATTCATCACTCCACCAGCCTATCTAACTACCCGTCCAACCAGCCACCCATCTATCCAATTATTCACCATCCCACGCATCCAGCTGTCCACCCACCCACTCATTTATCCACTCACCCTCCCATCTGTTCACTTAGCCATCCATCTGTCCAACCATCTAATCATCCATCCAACATCCATGCTCCTATCCATCCACTCATCTGTCTAGCCAATCATCCAACCATCCACCTATCTCTCCATTATTCACCCTCAGATGTATCTGCCAATCCGCCACCCATCCATTTATCCATCCATCCATCTATACATCTATATATTCAACCAACCACCCACTCATCCACCATTCATTTTTCCATTCCAGACAGCCTATCTATACACGTGTGCATGAATCGTTAACTGAGAGATTATTTACTGAGCACCTCTTCTATGTCTGACACTCTTCTAAGCACTGGTGATACGACAACACGATCCCAAGAGACAGAATCCCTGCCCTCAAGGAGGTTACACAACCGTGCCCACATTCCTTCCTTCCAATCATCCAACAACACCCTATCCACGCATTTCTCTGCCTTGTGCTAGAGTTGAGATTATTAGAGATGAATCACATGATCTAGTTAAAACCGATGGTTAAAATCATTTGCCATGTAATTCCAGGGACTGTCTTCTTAAAAAAAATTGCCTTAAGGAGAAATGGACTTTGGTTGAGTCAACTGCTCTTAGGAAATGAAGTAAAATCAGCTTAGCCTGATTTTCATTTTGACCGGCTGACATGCAGTGTGGCTGTAGGTCAGTGATTCTGAGCCCTGACTGAAGATTAGAGTCACATGAGATCTTTTCAAAAAATACCAGTGCTGTAATTCGGCAAATATTTGTTTGCTCGGCAAATATTCACCCTCCCCTTTCCCCTGGAGGCAGAATGTTGCCCCTTCCTTCCCCACTGAGATCGGGCTTGGCCGTGTAACTTGCTCTGGCCAATGAATGTTAGTGGATATGATAAAGCAGCCACTTGACATGCGCGTGTGCAGTGGCACTTGCTCTTCTGCCATCGCCAGGACTCCCCCTTGGAGCCATTGCCCTTTAGCTGGGTCCCAGAGTGAACCCACCTGGGGCTGCCATAGCCCAACCTGCACGGAGGAGCTCTGTCCAGTGGGCCTGCAGCCTGGCCTGGCCTAGATCAGCCTACGGACCCGCAGCGCCAGAGCGCGAGAATCAATGCTTGTTGAGGGTGCTTTGTCATACAGAGTTCTCGTGGCTCTAGTTAACCAATACCCAGAAGACTAGGCCAGGCACTTCACAGAGAGGACATCTAAAAGGCCAACCACCAAACGTAAGGGCGCTTAACTTCCTAAGTGTTTGGGAAGAACTCAGATTAAGACCCCAATGCAATACCACTATACACCCACCAGAATGGCTCAAGTGAAAAAGATGGGAAATGGCAAGTGTTGGAGAGGAAGTGGAGCAACCGGAATGCTCCCCACTCGTGGCAGAAGTGTCAAAATGGGATGGCATTTGCTAATGCTGAGCATATACATGTCACGTGACCCCCAAATCCCACTCCGGTCTCTATGTCCAAGACAGGTGAACATATGTTCACCAAAAGACAAGTTTGAGAATAATTCATAGCAGCGTTATTCAAAATAAACCCCAATGGGGCTTCCTTGGTGGCGCAGTGGTTGAGAGTCCGCCTGCCGATGTAGGGGACACGGGTTCATGCCCCGGTCCATGGATGAAGCATGACTGTTCCAAGACAATTGGGACAATCTCACCCCCTTGGCCAGTGACTAATTTAGGGGTAGGCATGTAGCCTGGTTTTGTCCAAAGAGACATAAAGGAAATTCTGCCGGGGTCTCCCAGGAAGGACTTTCCTTTTCCTAATAAAAGAGAAAGCAGTGAAGAAAATGACTCCTCGCCCACACCCCTGCTTTGTGTTGGAGGACTTGCTGCTTGGAGTGGTGGCAGCTATCTTGTAACCATGAGAGGGACAGTGTCGCAACAGTGAGTTTGACGGAGTGAGTGACAGGTCTTCTGAGTCCTTCATTATATTGTTGAGCCGCTGAACCAGTGCTGGGTCTGCCCATCCCGGCCTGCTTATTAGGTAAAGACTGAAGATCCTTATGGTTTAAGCCAACGTTAGGTGGGTTTTTTTGTTATATGCAATCAAAAATCATCTTAAAACATGGTTCTTAGGCCTGACCGAGAGTCTTGAAAACACGCCAAGGCTCTAGTCCCACCGAGACCATGAGCTCAAAGCCTCCAGGGCTGGCGGCCAAGCATTGCAATGTTCAAGGCTTCCTTGACAATTTTAGTAGGTAGCCAGTGCTGAGAACCACAGCTCCACATCAAGTGTCAGGTAGCTGCTCTGTGCTCCACCCTAGGGGAGGGAAAAGGGGCATTCTGACCTCAAAATCACTTTGTGCCTAATGTTTGGGGTACTATTATTATTACCATTATTATTATTTTGCAGCACCGACAACCTCAGTTTTGTTTATTGTGTAAAGAACCCAAGACTGGCAATCAAGAGACTTGGGGGTTTACGTCCCAGCTCAGCCACGAGCATCTCTCTTTCTCTCTCAGGCTCTCAGTTTTTCCATCTGTTAAATGGTGGGATGGGCTAGAACCTGCCTTCCATCCCTTCCATCCTGGAAGGGGGCACTGTGCAGCCAGGTGTTCCCCACCCCCAGCTGACCCAGGCCCTGCTTCCCACCCCTTCTTTGCTTCCCTGTGCCTGAGGTCCCTGCCTTGGCTTTTCCAGAGCTGGAGTTTGGCTCTACCCCCACCTGGCACAAGGCAGAGGCTCAGTTCATGTGGTGCTACCCTGACTGGAAGTGCCGATGCCCAGTGCCTGCCCAGCGTCGTGGTGCCCTGGCCTGAGGGCATCTGCTCCAGACCAGGAGCGAGGGGGAAGAGCACAGGACTAAGAGTCAGGGATCTGGGTTATAGTCTCCAAGTTGATGCTAAAGCGCTGTGTGACCTCAGCCACATCCCTGTCCCTCTCTGGGCCTCAGTTTTCTCATTGCAAAAAGAGGATTTTGGCTAGAAGGTTTCCAAGGGTTCTTCCAGTTCTAAAGCTTCTACAACTCGTTGAGATGTTTGGTTAGCTCTGTGCTAGTGAACACCAAACTCTCTGTCCCTGGGAGTCCCTTATGGTCACTTCAACAGGTCCACCGTATGTATAGAGCTTAGCATCGGTCATGGGGGAATAGGGAACCAAGCAGGAATGGAAGGATCTCAGATCTGAGTGTCAGGAACCCTAGATCTAGTTTCAATTCTGCAACTTACTAGCTATGTGACCTTGGTCAAGTCACTTCCCCTTCTGGGTCTCCGTTCCTTTATCAGTAAAAATGGGAATGAGACAACCCACTTCACCATGCTGAAGGGGCCATATACATGTGCTGGTCAAGTGCAGGCAGCTGGGAGGGGACCCCTCCAGCCCCTCACCCTAAGGCAGCATTGGCCCTGCAGCCTGGTATGGGTAGCTCAGAGGTACCCGGACAGCACCCGGCTCCAGCAAGCACCCCTTCCTTGACCAGATTCCTAGGGAGGCGAGGACAGTCAGGTGATGGTTACCTGGAACTGCCATCTCCCGCAGCTAATTCCAGACTCCCAGGCCCTCCCCCGTGGATCAGACAGCGTCCAGAGACTTTCCCTTTTGTCACTTATTCCATGGCATTGCCCCGACAACAGCCCTAGAAACTAAGAACGTCTTTTGTTGAATTAACTTATTAATTCTTATGCATCCTCTCTCTTTTCAAAAAGACTTGATGCCCCTACATGATTGAACCCATCTGATAGACGAGGCAATTAAGATTCAGAAAGGGGAAGGGAAAGGTTTGCATGAGGACAGGCAGCTGGAAAGTATGGATTTGGAGCCCAAGCTTCCTACCTCAAATCCAATGCTCCTTCTGGGAATTCCAGGGACACCAATCCAAGTAAGTGGCACTCACAAGGGTTCTGAGCAGGCAGGGGTAATATAGCCATCCTCACCCAACCCGGCACCTGCGCGGCGGGGACCATGGTGCGTTCCCACAGATGGGGGTTGACCTTGAAGGGACCTTGAGGGAGAAGAACTTCCCTACCCTCACTCTTGATTTTCCCACTGAGATCCTTAGCCTTTGAGGGGCTTTGAGTAAGTCCCCATCTTTAGAATCCTCCTGTTTAAAACGGAGACCCTGGTAAGTACTGTTGTTAAGGAGGTGGTGGTAGAATTAAGAGGTTCAAGCACGGACAGGCCTAGCGCTGGGCCTGGCCGTTGGTAAGGAAGTGTGTGATACCAGGCTACTTCCCCATCATTGGGCCTGTGCAATTACAGGCTAGGGCTGCTGCCAGGGGCACTGGCAGGTGGAACTGCTCAGCCTTAGCATGAGGGGGCAATTAGGAAGCAGCCTATGGGGGACTTCCCTGGCAGTCCAGTGGTTGAGACTCCACGTGTCTACTGCAGGGGGCACAGGTTTGATCCCTGGTCGGGGAACTAAGTTCCCGCGGGCCACGCTGCATGGCCAAAAAATGAAAAAAAGAAAAAAGAAAAGAAGCAGCAGATGGGGTCAGCTTGGCCGGGTTCAAATCACAGCTTTGCTGGTTGTTAGCTCTGTGACCTCTTAGAAGCTCAATTTCTTCACCTGTAAAATGTACCTAAAAGAGTACCTATGTCATGGCAGAGTGAGGGCAGGGGTGAGGAGGTGAGATCCTGGGTGATGCCCTGCCCCTCTCTTGCCCTCAGTTTCTCATCATCTTCGTGCTGTCCAGCTTGATTTCTGAGGCCTCAGCCTGGGGGCTAGGCTACCTTCTGGGCCTGAGTCCTGGAGAGAGGCCAGCGGTCTCAAGGGACCCTCTGGGAGGCTGATTGGGGTTAAAAAATAGCCCTTTCTCAGGGAAAGGGAGAGTGTAGTGGGCCCTGCCAGTCAAGCCAGGGGCCTACAGAGGGAGCGGTGGTCGAGAGTAGCTGATCCAAGGCCAGCTTGGAACAGGAGAGACTGGAGCCACCCCTGAAGCTTCCAGGGGCTCCTCCTTTGCCTCCTTTGTGGGGCCCCAAATTCTGGCTCCAGGGGAGCCCCCACCTCTCCCAGGACAGCTATAAAATGGGGATAACAGTGGCTGTGACGGGGCTCCTTGAGTTAACACAGTAAAGCACTCAGAACAGTGCCTGGTCCATCCACAGCCAGTGCTCTTCTAAGTTGGGCCTCAGTTTTTACATCTGTGAAATGGGTATAGAAACATGGACGCTTGCAGGACTGGAGTGAGGACTAAATAATAGCATTTGAAAAGTGGCCCTTCTTCCCCCCAGTTCCTTCCCCTCTCCGCAAGTCCAGGCTCTCTGACAGCCAGGGTCTGCCTGGGAGCTGCGGTGGGGTCTCTGTAGCCGTTTGGGGGCCTGCGGCGGGAAGAGTGGCTTCCTGGATGTTTTATCAGAAACTGGGGGTGCGAGGTGTGGCTGGAAGGGTTGGGGGCAGAAAAGGGACTGGCAGTCATCCTCCAGGGCATCAAGTTCCCCCTCAGCCGGGGACTTGAGTCAGGAGTGAGAGCCCAGACAAGAGGCTTCCTGTCCTCTGCTCATCTGCCTTCCCTTCCCTCCCCTCCTGGCCTCATTCCCTGGTTAGTCACCCTTCCAGACGCAGTTCATGCAGCTCCTCCACCAGGAAGCCTCCCTGATCTGACGGCTGAGGCATCCAGAGCTGCCCCCAAGGGTACCCCTGACGTTCTAGTGCTCTGACTGCCCGCTGTGGGCCTGGCTCCCTAGGGAGTCTGGAAACTTCCACAGAGCAAGCCTGTATCACATTTGTGCCACAACCCCAGGACATACCCAAGGCCAGGTACACAGTAGGTACTTAATAAATGTTGGATGGGCAGGCGAATGAATGATTAGGTCAAACCTTGGAAGCACAGCTATTATGAGAAGACACTGTGCGTGGCAGAGGGCGTGACCACAGGTGTCTGACTGCCTGAGTTCAAAGCCCGCTCTGCCACCAGCTGGCCGTGTGATGGGGAGCAGATTACTCCACTCCCTCTGCCTCGTTTTGCCCCTCTGTAAAATGGAGATAATGATAGCATCCGGCCTACAGAGGTGCTGTCAGACAAAACGAGGTAACATATAGAAATGTGGGACAGGGCGCTCGGCATGTGGCCAGTGGCCCAGGAAAATCTGCTAACATTAGTCCGTGGCTCCCAGGATGCTGCGGTTCTCTGCTCTGACCCATTCCTGCTGAGATGCTGTCACCTGGAACTCGTTCCCAGTTGGCAGTTTCCATGCAAACTGTTTTCCCCTGACAGCGGTGGTCAGGAGGGTCAGCTGTGGCTGTTGGCCCCCCGGGCTGTCCCGGGTAGCCCCGAGGGATGCTGCAGAGACCCGCTGGATGGGTCCAGGGGTCAGTAACGGGGTCAGAGCTTGGGAAGGAGGGAGATCTCCACGCTTTCCCTAAACCCAGCCTGGGTGCAGGATGGCTTCCCCCCACCACTTCCAAATCCACTGCTCCCCAGGGCCCCTCCCTCTGCCGCCTCCCTTCCTGCTGGCACGACCCGCTGTCCTAGGAACTTCAGAAGGACCCACAACCCAACCCACTCCTCTTCTTCCTGGGTTTGAAGTCATGTATGAGGTGACCACCTACAAATGACAATAGTGGGTTTCTGGTGAGCACTTAGTTCTTGGATCAGGGCCGCACGTAGTAACGGCGGGATGAGTATATCAGGCAGGGTCCACCTGGGTGTTTTAGGTGTGAGTGTGGACTGTGCAATTCAGCTCTTATGCAAAGCACTATGGTTCAGACACTGCAACAAGCACTGGGAGAACCACAGCCCTAACGCCTCCCTTTGCAGTTAATTTACACTCTCATGTATGTTGTTAGCTTGAGCTGTGTGATACATTTGTGATGAGGGTACGGTTCCCATAGATTTGTGATGAGGGTACTGTTCCCATTCTACAGATGAGGAAACTGAGGCACAGCAGGAAGAAACTGATGAGGAAGAGACCAGAGGCTACATCTTCTGACTTCACACCTAGCCCTCATCCTATGTAACCCACAGCCTCCAGTTCTTTTTTAAGTTTTGAGTAAAGGCCTGGGTTAAACTAAATTAATTATCTATCTATCTACCTATCTATCTATCCATTCCAGGGCTTCACATCACATGACCTTAGCCCAAGACAGTCCTAAATACCTGCCGCTTGGTGAGCCTGGGGCCGTATGAGGAAGTGAGGAATTGACCTGGGCTGTTCCTTGGCTCCCAGGGTCCTCAAACCCCTCTCCTTGCAATGCCCAGTATGTTTACGTCAAAGCTTATCTTTCTGATCTGCTGTTCCTCCAGGATCCAGAGGGGTCCTAGGAAATCTGGGGAAACACTCCCAGCTGGAGAGCTCGTGAGTGTAAAACATTAAAGCATTCTCTCCCCTTCCTGGGTCCTATGGCTTTAAAACCTAAACCGTAAAAAACGCTGGTGCTCACACTGCTATATATAAAACAGATAAACAACAGGGAACCATATTCAATATCTTGTAATAACCTATAACGGAAAAGAATCTGAAAAAGAATAGATATGACTGAATCACTTTGCTGTACACCTGAAAAAAATAGCCCTTTCCCAGGGAAAGCGAGAGTGTAGTGTGCCCTACCAGTCAAGCCAGGGGTCTGTGGAGGGAGCGGTGGTCGAGATCCAAGGCCCGCTTGGAACAGGGGAGACTGGCGCCACCTCTGAGGCTTCCAGGAGTTCCTCTTTTGCCTCCTTTGCGGGGCCCCAAACGCTGGCTCCAGTATATCAACTATACTTCAATAAAATTTTGAAAATAAAAATAAAAAGGCTGGTGCTGTGGGTCCCTGCAATGTTTCCTGGCCAATTTCATGTATTACACCATTTGACTTCTCAAAACCTCCAGAGTCAGGGGAGGATTCTTCCCATTGCCCAGATGAGGAGACTGAGGCCCAGATTGTAAGTGGCAGAGAGCCTGCCTGCCCCTCTTTTCATCAGACCTTCTGACACCGAATATTTAGGGCAGTGGCCAGGGGTTTTAGTTACTCTGGAAGTCTCTGCTCTGGCTAAGGGGCGAACTGGCCTTGCGGGGGAGGGAGAGTGGAATCCAGGCCACCTTCATTGGCCCCCAGAGGGGCCCAGGTCAAAGCCCCAGGGTGGGCCTTTGTAGCAGGCAGTGCTGACAAGCCTTTGGCTGCTGGCGTCCAGGGCCTGGCAGCTAATGGGATTGGAGCCTTTTGTCCAGACTCTAAAGCTCAAAAGCCCCTCCCAGCTCTGCTAATCCCAGAAACTTTGATGCTGGTTACACACTCCTGGCTTCTCTCGGGAGTTAGGACTTTAGGTTTCTGAAGCTGGGCCAGGGTTGCTGGAGGTTACCAAGGGGATCTTATCACAGCTGACCCCATAGCCCAGGAGGGAAAGCTGAGCCCCAGGGATGGGGCATGACAGGCCCAAATGACCCAGGTAGGAGGTGACGGCCAGGGATTTGAACCTGTCCAAAGCTGCTTCCGCTCCCACGCCACCACACCGCCAGACCCTCTGTGCCCACTGTATGTTTGGGAGACCAAAACTCCATCTGAAATGGGCTGAGCGCCCCTTGCTAACCTGAATCAGGGCGAATCACTCACAAGTGGTCTAGGACCCTGATGACAAGTTTTAGAAGATTATTTACTTATTGTTGTACATTGAGGAAGCTACCACAAAACAGAGGGTGAGAGGGAGAGAGGGAAGAAGAAAGAACAAGAGGAAAAAACCTCTTTACTGTTTTTGGTGGAAAAGATTCCATTTTCCGAGGAGAAGCATAAATTCCACACAGGCCCAAAGGCCCACAGTCTGAGGTGGTGCCATGAGCACCAGCTAAGAAAAGCATCAGTGAATGCCAAGTGTTTGTTTTTGTTGTTGTTTTGGGTTCGAGGGCCTCTCACAGCTGTGGCCTCTCCCGTTGCGGAGCACAGGCTCTGGACGCGCAGGCTCAGCGGCCATGGCTCACGGGTCCAGCCGCTCCGGGGCATGTGGGATCTTCCCGGACCGGGGCACGAACCCGTGTCCCCTGCATCGGCAGGTGGACTCTCAACCACTGCGCCACCAGGGAAGCCCGTGAATGCCAAGTTTTATCTCTTTGGGCCCCATGCTATTGAGTCCCCGGGCTCATGGGTTACCTTCAGC